GGGATTATCATTCCTATACCCAACTCCCTTCCTGGAGGACCAATAGCCATTGTGTAAGACACAGGGGTCGCTCATCTCACTTTGAATCTCAGAGTAGGGAGGCTGTATACTAGTTGTTCAATGTTTTTAGAGAATATAATAATGCAGGTAACCGGATATTGATTGATGATTTATTATAATTTATTTAATAATAATTGAGAGCATATACCAAACTATTCCTTTTGGCATTTTTACTGGACCTTCTTTCCTGAAAACTCCAGAATAATGAGCAATGAGCCAAAGTAATTTTCAATTAGAAATAGTTAAAATAAAATTATAATAAAAGAAATTAGTAATAAATTTAATTACTTAATAAAGAAAATTACTTTTTTAATTTAGAAATAATTATGATGAAAGTAGAACCATCTTTCATGACAATTTAGCATGTAAATATTATCCATCAATCCTTGGTAACATTAATTTTTAAATGAGTTATGAAATACTTAGTAGAACCTAATTAATTTATTGAATAGGGCTAAAGAGACCCAACCTGGTTTAATCTTCTTTAGAATGAGTACCTGAAATTAATCAGATAATACATCCCATGTTAAACACATTAATGACCCCAGTGTATCATTTAAATAATGCAAAGTGTAGAATGAAGAATTAAATATCAACACCATTACCTACAGACCAGAAAAGTAGTTGTAGTAAGAAAATTCATTCTTATGGTACTTAAATGAGATGAAGTTTAAAATTATTTTTATTCACAGTTCTTCAATTTAACTTAATTAAAGGTGTTGGCACAAACCTCAAAAATAGCATACAGATCGGTATTTTTTTAAAGATCTGATGTAATTATGATCAATGCTTTGCATATTTTTTAAATACATACAAAATTATACATACGATTGTTAATATTAGATTTTCAAAGGATACATAATTTGTCAATATAAATTTATATTATTTTGAGGGATACTTCATAAAACCCTTTTAATTTCACAAAATCTTATTGCATTTGTATCTCTTTTTTACATCTGACAATGTTTCAGGTAACTTCACTAATTTTCAAGTCATCATATATTTTTTTAAACTAATTTTTCCAATTCTCTAACATATTGTAAATCTTCTAATTTGTTTATATGTACTCATAACACTTCCATGATTTTTCTGTATTTGATTATATTATCACATTCCTTTTCCATATCATACACAGTTTTACATAAAAATTTCAATATTAGATTTTCAAAGTTTCAAAGGGTATATAATTTGTCAATTTAAATTTATTATTTCGAGGAACAATTCAACAACTTAATTAAAGGTGTTGGCACATACCTCAAAAAAACATATAGATTGATATTTTTTTAAAGATCTGATGTAATTATTGTCAATATATTTTCATTTATGCATACAAAATTTTATTATAAAAATCATGAAACCAATAAAAATTATTCTTAAACGTAAATTTAATAATAACAAAATATATATAGCCATATTGAAGGTTAACTGAATATTGATATATAAAGTAAAGTGAGATATAACACCACTGAAGTTGCATCCAGCGGATCCATCTTCCTAAAAGCCAAAGGAACCGCTGAGCCATTGGTGATTCGATTGATGAATAAATGAGTGCTCTGAATTCCATCAATGGTGTTCATCAATGAGTTTAGGAACTTGCATATATATGTATATCACCATTTTATTGCAAATAGTCATTAAGTAATATTTCAAAAAATTAAATGATTAATTATTTTGATGAATTACCCCTCTGTGAAATCAAAACATTTTCCCTTTAGAATTAATGTATTTATATCCTATATACTAGTATTTATTCTATATTTGATATATAAAAGGATTTTAGCCAGTTTTGATGCTCTGCAAGTATTTTTATATTGATAAATATGCTTAAAATTCACTAAAACATGATTAAAATTATAGCTCTCTCAAAAATGTACTTAGTGACTTTTTGCAATAAATCGAGGATATATTTGTGGGAAATAATATTTGGCGAATTTCTTGAAAAGATTATCTTAAAATTCAGTAAAATATTATCAAATTAAAATTATTTCTAACGTAAAATATGACATTTTTAATATAGCTTTCATTAAAAAAAGAAATATGACAAAATCTTTCATTTTCCATAGATTTAGAAAAGAATAATTTATATATATATATATATATATATATATATATATATATATATATATATATATATATATATATATATATTCATTAATTTTTTAGATAAATAAATATGCTAATCAAATTATTTCTTTAAACTTTTTTGCTTGATGCTGGCATTTTTATAGCTATTTATTTATCTGCCAAGTCAAATTTAACTTATTAGGCATCATGAGTTGCAAGAAACTTAATATGTATGTATAATAAGAAACAAACCACAATCCGACGAGCCAAATCAACCTATTTCCAAGAAGCTCTTTCATTAGCTCCCGATTCCAAATCCAAATGGCTACTCCTTCGTAAACTCTCCCTCTGTGAATCTTCCAGATCCCCTACCTCAGCAGTTTTTCCAGTTTCACCAGATTATTTAAACTCATATTTTATATCTGCTTTCTCTTCTACCCCTCCTTTTACTGCTTCCTTTTCTTCTTCTGGTACATCCTTCAATGACGACGACTTTTACTTTTCATATATCTTATCCACAGACCTCATATCCGCCGTGATGAAATCACATTCCAATTCTATTGGTCCAGATGGCATTCTGGCCAAATTAATCAAACTATGCCTTCCCGAAATCCTTCCTATTCTTCTTTTCATACATAATTTCTCCCTCCAAAACTCAGTATTTCCTGCCTCATGGAAGAAAGCTGCCATTCGTTCTTTAAATAAAAATTCTAACCCTTCTTCCCCCAAAGATTTCCGTCCAATTTCAATCCTTTCCAACCTTTCAAAATCCCTAGAAAGAATAGTGTAATCCCAAGTTTCCAATTACCTTGAAAATTTCAATCAACTCGACCCTTTCTAATCTGGTTTTCGACCAGGCTACTCCACACAATCCGCAATAATTAAAATCATTAGTGACATTCAGTCCGCTATAGATGATAAAAAACTAACTGTCCTTTTACTTCTTGACTTTTCCATAGCCTTCGATACCATTAACCATTCCATCCTCTTTTCCAAATTAATATCATTATCCTTTTCCAACATTGCTAATCTTTGGTTTCAGTCTTTCCTCTCTCAATGTTCACAAGCTATTCCTTTGAGTTCCTATATCAACGACCTCCATAAATCAATCGTCCACTGCTCCCATCACCTCTATGCTGATGATTCCAAATTTATCTTTCCTTCCCTCCCTCTGATTTTTATGATGCATTTGCCAAAATCCAAGAAGATCTAAATCGCATCAGCGCCTGGGCATACATAAATGGATTAAGATTAAACGCTGATAAAACTCAGGCCATTATCATTGGTTCCAAACCCCTCCTCAAATCCAATACCAATATTCCTATTCTGTACCTAAATAACCATCCTATCACCTTCATCTCCTCAGTTAAAAACCTAGACATTTTCATTGACCAAACCCTCTCCTGGAATCACCATATTGCCTACATCTCTCGACGGTCAATATGTACCCTTAAATTATTTCATCATTTCCGCCATTTTCTACCTATACCCACACGTAGACTCCTAGTATCCTCCCTCATCTTCCCCCACCTTGACTACGACTGTGTTGCGTACGGTGGCCTCTCTGTAGAACTCAGTAACAGACTAAAACAAATTATGAATAGCTTAGTAAGATTTGCCGAAGTGACCCTGAGACGTTTCCGTGTTTCCCACCACTATGCCCAGTTAGGGTGGCTCTTCCCCTCCTTCAGAAGACAATACTTCCTTGGCACATTCCTTTACCAAATAATCAACAATCGTCGCCCATCCTATGTATATAATTTCCTCCAATTTAAATCATCTATCCATTCTCGCTCAACAAGAACTCGTCCTTCTGACCTTTACAACCCTTTCCATAGATCTGCTTCATTTCAACATTCCTTTATTGTCCGCTCTACCACCTTATGGAATTCTATCCCACTTAAAATCCGCCATGCACCATCCTTTTTCACATTCAAAACCCTCTTATTCCAATTCCTCTTCACAGTCCAATCAAACGCTGGTTAATTATGTATTGTGTAACAAGGATAATTTTTTTTTCTTTTCATACACCATTATTTTATTTTTGTTTATTATTTATGAATTGGAAAGATTCAGTATCACTTTTGGCATAGCAATGTAATGCATAAAAAATAGGAGATTGTTGGTTTTATCCATTTTTTTTCTGTCTAATATTATATATTTTAAATGTATTTCATTTTTTACATTCCTCAATTTGTATACATATATGTCTTTTCCTATCTTAATATCCGTGTTTGTTTATAGTTTACAATACCATTGCGTATTGTATAACATATATAAATAATTTATTTTCTTTTAATTAGTTTTTTTTCTTTTTGTCACAATTGTTCTCATAAAATTAATTTAGTCTCCTTCCTAATTGTATTTATCTATTTATTCTTATTTTATATCCCTTATGCAGGGATAATGCAATATTGCAATCCCGTTGCTCATCTTCTGTCATTAATATATCTTTACTAGGTTTATATTTTGAATATTTAACTGTTTATGTTTTAACATAAAAAGTCAACATTTATCCTCCTTCATTTATTTACGTACTTTGATATTTTTTCTTTTCTATATGTTTTGCTTTTTCTTTCTATACATGTAATTATAATTCTAACATGTACTTACTATTATTTACATTGCTGTATATATTGTTTGAATCTTTATTACGTTAATTTTTGGCCAGATATGTATTTTTTCTTTTGTAACTGTTCATTATTGTTATTCTAAGGGGACATCGTCCCTGAACAAAGTTTATTTTCTATTCTATTCTATGTACATTTTATAATTAGCTTATTTCAACAAATTACTGATTTGTTGGTTTCATTTGCTAACATAAAGATAAAATTAATATTTATTTTATTTAAAATAACTTTCTATGCCAATTCTAGCATACAGAGAGCCAGATTCACAATGGGAAGCATTAAAACAAAATTGTGACTATAATGACACACCTGATTCTCCAGATAAAGTATGCAAGGTAGACATCAGTTCATGGTCACCTTGTGTCAAAGAAAACAATTACAACTACCATAATGCTGCTCCATGTATTTTCCTTAAACTCAACAAGGTAATATTACAACAGGTTTTTATATAGTTGCATGTTACTTTCTAGAATCAAATTCTTCAAAACTTTGATGTATTTTAACAGTTAACTTATCGATTTGAGAACATGTTTTTAAACCAATAATAATCAATATTATTTTAATGATATTAAATTCTCACAATGTTTATATAATAAGGTTAGATTTTTTTTTATCCAAATGAGAATGGCTATAGATTATCTTCCCATTTTCATTTTCTCCCATCTCCCATTTATTTTCTAAGAACACTGTACTTTTCATAAAAAAGATTTTTTTACTAACATTATTAATTCTACCTTTCAGCTTCTTTAGTTTTTCTATAACAGTGTGTATATGTTTCTCTTTCATTAGAACTTCAACTATATCAAACATTATTTTGTTGCCCAGTAATGGTAATAAGAAACAAAAAAAGAAACAGTTCATTCAGTTAGAAACTGAATGAATCAATGAATTTCGCTGAGCTTATCTAGTTTTATTAATTAATGTGTTTTATATATTATTACCATTGGTCTGGTTGGTAGTTTTAATTTTATTATAAAGGTTTGTCCAGAAATTTATATGTATATAGTATTTACTGAAATTTATATCAAGTAGGCTTTATACAACTGATTCTACCTTATTTTCTACAATAACAACATCCCCATTAGATTTCCCAAGAAATGTATTATTAAGATCTCTACCTTCCATTATCTCTCTCTGTTTATTCTCCATATTAATAAAAACTATACAATTAAAACAAATTGTTTATTTGAGCTATGACCTGATTGTCGTGACCTAATTTTTAAAGAATAAGGCCTCATGTTGGGGGCCAAAATGTAACATACCTCTTATGTTTTACAAATAATAATAATATAACCTCGAAAGATCACTTCTTACCATTGGGATACTTCCTAAATAAATAAGAGGTTGTTTAATAATAAACAATATTATAAGTGTATTAATATATTTATTTATCTCAGGTGTGGGTTACTGACAATCAGATCAACTCAGACAAACTATTATTATTTCTATTTACACTATTTATACCAAAATTAAACACTGATTGATTTTAAAATAAAGTCAAATATGGATTGGCAAGCTAACCTTTTTCTGTATTAGATTTTCCTTCCTTTGTGACGCTGAACTCATTTACCTTCAAATACTTTCCAAAGTTCTGCCAAACAACACTTCCAAATTGGTAACACTATTACTGGATTTTTCCCACTGGAGCCAGAATCACTTCTTCAATCCTCTCTTCACTGCAGTCACACAACAACTACTTGCCAAAACAAAAACCTTTGTTCCTTTCCTCTCTGGGATTTTCCTTCTTGGGAAACTACAGAGCAGCCAATTTCTTTTCCCTGCACTAGTAGAACTAGATTTGCTTGCCTTTTAATTGTTCAACATTGATTTATTAAATCATTTTTACCCACTTCCAATATATATATATATATATATATATATATATATATATATATATATATATATATATATATATACATTAAAAAAATTAATAAAACTATATAAGCTGGTGGCCAAAAAAACTTGAATTTTACATTTAAATTGCAGTTTAAAGAAATATTTATGAGCCTGAAGTATTTACAGGTATATGACAGATCAAAGGGGATTATAATGCATTAATCCTATTGAGAAAATCTCATGATTCTCTCTACGATTAACGATAGAATAAAATGTGGACTTTGTATCAGTTTGTCTCCAGCTGCTTGTTCAATCGCATTGGGTTTACTTTTGTGATTTATTTTTTTGAAAAAAATATTTATTTGTATCAAACATTTTTAAGAGTTAAAAATGGTTTTGGATCCCATAGCAGTCGCTCAGATTATTGTGTTAATCAAAAAAGGCCGAAGTCAGCAATACGCAGCCTGAGTCCAAGGGCAACCTGAAACAACGTTTTGGCAGGTAGTCCAGAGATACCGGGAGACAGGAAGCTATACCAGAAGGCCGATATCAGCCCATCCAAAAGTGACAGATCTAGCTGATAACAGATTGATTGCTATGCAATCCTTCAGAAAACTCTACCAGATTTCAGTTTAAATTTGTCATCGATTACGTATTGCTCATGGTGCAGATGTCAGACTACACAGTATAAAGAAGGCTTGATGAGTTCAATCTGCACCCTAGGGTTCCTGCTTAGAACACTACATGTGACCTCCAAGTACTTGAAATGGATCCGATTCAAGATTGTGTAACCACCTTATTTGTAGTATGCCTGCGAGAGTACAGGCCGTTATTCAAGAAAAGGAAGGCAACACTAGGCACTAGAGACTCATTCCATATTAATTATAATAATATTTAATTATAAAAAAGAATCAGATGCATTTTATTCTTTTTTGAAAGAGTGTTCATTTGCTTTATTTTACATTACGATTTTTGTTTAATGAATTTTCATTGTTTTGTTTCCCCCTTTTTTTGTGGTTTTCAGTATATGTGGTATGTGGTTACAGTATATTTAGGTAAAAAAAATTGCAATTTATTTTTCTGTTGGGAAAGAAATAAGACAAATTTAAGGTGCACCAGTTTTTATGATCATCAGTGTATTTTAATGTAATATAATAGGTGAGTACTATAATATAATAGGTAAGTAATAAGTTACCATAAACCAATTTAATCTGTTAAGCAAAAATTGTATTAACGTTTTTTTATTTGAATTTATAAATAATATTGTTTCAATGAAGAATGGTGTACAATACTAAAATAGTAGTCATTGAAAATTTTAAATTTATTTTTTCCTATATTCTTTCCTGCTAAGTGAAGTTTCTCTAATAATAAGATTTAACAAGTAATAATAAGCTTTCTACTCTAATTCCTCGCAATGCTTCTTTGCAGTTACTTTTAACCTTTGACTAAAATAAAATAAAATTCACTGTCTTTCTATTCACTATTTTTCTACTATAAAATTAAAATAAGTTTTATTTACAATAAATAAACACTTGGCAAAAATGGAATTTATATTTATATATATTTAAATGTATCAAATCTACATTGAGAACAATAGAGAAAAAATGCGAACATTAAATTTTATTGATATATTTGTTCAACATTTATTATTTGCCTATTTTTCATGTTATAGATATTTGGTTGGATGCCTGAGTTCTACAATGATACTGAAAAGTTACCAGAAAACATGCCAACAGATCTTAAAAATCATATCAAGGCAGAAAAAACAAGTCATGCAGCAGAATTGAGTAGAGTAAGCACTTATAACCCAAAATGAGTGATATGTTTATTTTTTAAATGTTTGATGAAATTAATAAAATTATTAAATTGATTTGTTTTGTTTTGTTTCATATTTTACTAGTTAAATACAGTATGGGTGTCTTGTGAAGGAGAGAATCCAGCAGATGTTGAAAATATTGGTTCGATACAATATATTCCTAGGAGGGGATTTCCAGGCTACTATTTTCCATATAAAAACCAAGAAGGCTACCTAAGCCCCATAATTGCCATTTGGTTCGAGAAACCTACAAGTAAATATGACCTGTTTTAAAAACTTTATAATTATATTCTTTTTATTGGCTTTTTAGACTTTATAGATCTTTGGCTGCCTTATCCAGACTTCTCCATCTCTGCCTCTTATTTTCTTTAACTCCAGCCAATTCAGACATATGTGAGGGAGAGGGTCTCCACCTCTGACTATTTTGGGATATTGCTTGTCAGTATGCTGCATGCAGCTCTGCAGCATATTTGTTGATTTTATCTATCAATCTGGTTTTTGCTATCCCACACGATATCTTGTCATGTCAATTACTGAGACATTCATTCTTAAATAGAGGCTTCTTGAAGTATCAAGTAGAGCAACATGTCTTGATGTATGATGAATATTGGTTTAATTATTATTTTTTTTAATATATGACAGTCTAGATAATTGGAACCCTAGTAATCCTGTTGATTGATGAGAGACAAAATGGAAATGGCTCTGCTTCACAGTTCATACTACTGGGATTGCTTTGTGTGGTAGTGTCGAATTTGTATTATGATGTCTCTAAAAGAACAACATTAAAACTAGGTGGTCGTTCAGAAGTTGAGGAATCTCTTTATGTGTGATATTTAAAGCAGATATCATGAAGGTGGCTGATTTCCAGGGATATTATATAAAAATGCAAAGCTTTTTTTCTTAATTTTTTAAAGCATAACAAATTAAATTTTAATGCCATTGAAGGTTGGCTTGATAATTTAAAAAGTAGTATTTTAATTTTTATTCACTGGAAAATTTCTTTACACTCATTTTATTTTTCATGATAGATAAATCATAGAAATGCCATGAAGGCATTTAATACTTGCTCGGAGTGGGAGAATGGATACGTCGATTTCTGAAGCCTGGTACATTCAGGGAATTTGCGAGATCAGGCTTTTTCTTTAGCAAAAAAATTAAAAACCCAATGTACATTATATGATCATTTTCAGAATTTTTTATTTTATTTGAAATATGTTTATAATTAACTGATAATACATATACTTTTGTTACCTAGTGCCATTTTTCCATCATTAATAAATTTAACCTTGGATAATACGAACAGGCCATGAAATCACTGTATTTGGATTATTAAAACTATCCTGTATTTTAATAAGTTTTTTTTCCCTTTATTGTTTATAATTAAAATGTAAATTCTCTTGAAGAGAAGAATGGTTGGGGTGATCAGTCAAATTGAAATAGTAAAAAATAAATAACTTTATTTATTTTTATATTCGCCGAAGTTTCAACCTGAAGTTCAGGCCTTCATCAGGGCTGCTGTACAAGAAGTAAAGTCAGACAAACACAATATAGCGGGAGGGAGTAGAGCTGGCAGATCACCATTAGGCTCTGCCAGCTTCCCTCCCTCCGGCCAGCTTCCCTTGTCTGATTTTACTTCTTGTATAGCAGCCCTGATGAAAGCCTGAACTAAGGGCCGAAACGTTGGTGAATGTAAAAATAAATAAAATTATTTATTTTTTACTATTTAAATTTGACTGATCACCCTAACCATCCTTCTCTTCAATTATTCACTACAGTCAACCATAAACCCACAATTGTAAATTCTCTTATAGGTTTCAGTCATTATTAATTCAATTTGGATATTCTTCATTTTTTTAAGAACTGAAAAATTTAATTAATTTTTTCTAGTTATTATTCCTAAGTCTTTTTTAAAATAAATACTATTATTTTATAGACTTTTTAGCATTTCATTTAATAGTGATTAACTTCCATACCTTTTGATTTTTTTAAAGAAAGAAGCTGGTCTATTTGTTATAAGCTGGTCTATTTCTAACAGTTGGTCATTTATTGATGTTATTGTCGAGCCTTGGAATTTGAATCAAAACCAGCTTTGGAATTTACAAATAAAGCTACATTCTCAGCTACTTGCCATATTTTTCAAGCACTGATTCTAAGATAAAAATCTGGTCTAGTATTCTCCTTCCTCTTCAGAATCCTGCTCAGTGGTCTCTTATAATATTTTCATATAGATATTGTATTTACAATTTACAATCGCTTATAATATTAAAATTACAGATATTGTAGGGAATCAAAGGGAGTGCTATGTCTCTGTAATTAGCACATTCATACATGGAGGATAGGGAGGACTAGTCCAGTATTATAAATAAATAAAAGTATTATAAATAGTGATAAGGTCATAAAAGTAAATAAATAAATTAGATAGTTTGTAACGGTATGGGCAAAGTATTCATATGTGATTATTGAAGGGATGATGCAATACAATGATCAGTAAACCTTCAATAAACAAATAATTGTATTTATAAAACTTGTTAATCTTTAAGACTTTTTATTAGAGTAAAAGTTTACTTACTATTAGAATACATTATTTCATCTAAAGAAAAGACATAAATAATATAACTTTACAGAAAATTAAATAACCGAAAAATAAAATATGTTGGTTTATTTTCTTTCTTATTTATTTATTTCTTTTTTTTCTTTCTTATTATAATGGATAATAATGTTGATTCAATTTTTTTTTCAGGTGGTGTTCTAATTAATATTGAATGCAAAGCTTGGGCACATAATATAAATCACGACCGTGCTGAGCGAAGAGGGTCAGTCCACTTTGAACTTATGATTGACTAGTTCACTCCAGACACCAAACCTGATAGAGACGATATCCCTTTCTCCAGCGCAGCTTCCTTGAACCCCAACATCAATATATTTCAAACAGCCACCGAGCCTAAAGCGTTCTTAATTTTTTTCCATTTGGAATGTGCACGCTTGCACAAAAGCGCGCCAAAGTTTTTTGCTTTTTCTCACCATTGACTCAGCTCAAATTTAATTTGCAATGTTACAACCAATGAGAGGGGGAGGAGTGGAAAAGAGGGGAGTGTTTTGTCGTTTGATAATTTATTTTTCTAACTAGGGAATCACCCCCTCATCGGCACATCATCGCCGTCTTATTATTATGGTACCTTAAATCAATGTATACATGTATGTATAACATGTGGATGATACCTCAAAATGCGTACACATGTATGTATATTCACTAGCACAAAAAAATATTAATAAAAAAAAATAAAAATATTAAATATATATATAAAAAAAATTAAAAAAAAAAAAACCGAAACCAAAGTGTGTGTACAAAATCTTCATTGTAAACACCATATGTGGGTTACTAAATTGTATAGATGATATTAAAATTTTACTAATTGTGTGTGTTCATGGCAGATAGTAGTTGCTTACACTTTAGTAACTAATCTCAAAGAATGGACTTGAGAACCAGTGCAATGGTTGTGCCCCCAGTTTAATATACATGAACCTGCGTTTCTTTTTCAATCTAGATAATAATAAAAAAATTAAAAGTATTTTAGTTACCAAATAAAAGTTATAGGGCTTAAAATGTATATTTTTTAGAGATATCTTTTTTCTTTACATACTCTTGCGTGTTTCACGCAAAAAAAAAAATATAAAAAACAAAATCGAATGCTTAAAAGTATTAGATTAGAATGTGATAACAAGGGCCATAAGAGGCGTGGGAAATATAGTTACTTAAAACTTATTCGTAGTAAATACTCACATAGCTCTAGGATCACTTAATAATAGACCTAGTCATTAATTGTACTAAAATAGTTGTAATGCTTTCAGCTGCCATCTACTGATATTCTTTTATAAAAAGAAAGTATTACTTTTAAGTTTTAAACTTTTTACTTAATTTATATTAATTAATTTCATTTGTTAAGATTTTCTTCCTCTTTATTTAATTACTTAAAAAATTATTTTTAGCTTTAAGATATGTGTTCATATTACTGTATGATAATTTTTTTAATGTTATTTATATTACCCCATGATATATATAAACGAAAAAAAAATCTGTTAAACATTTTCAAATTTTATACAAGTATTATCTATTAAATTTACAATTGTTGTGATGAAAATTCCCTGAGAAGTTATCACTATTTGAAGGATACTTTTAATGTTAAATTGCATTCTTATATTTAGGAAGTAGCCAAAAATTGTTACTTTAGGAATACAATATACAGTATTTAGATACTCATTGTCGCTAAGAAGATCTATATATAAATGTAATTATAATCAAATTTACACCATCTTGGTACCTTGTTGTTATTAAGATCTTGGTTTGAACAACAATTTGCCTCTGTAAATATAAGTTGTTCACTGCCATTTGTTGTTATCAACTTAAAATTCCTTGTTTATACACATTTGACCCAATTCTTAATATATATCTATAAATACAGTGTTCATCTATCATACCCTTTAAAGGAGGTTTAAAAGTATTTGTTAATAAATAAAAAAATTATAGTACATTGTCCTTAGGAACAAGACACTATTTTATTGAAAATGTTTCGAACAATAATGAATGTATATACTTCATGTTATATATTATGGAAAAATAAGGTTTTTTTTTTACAAAAATTACTTCAGCCTCACTAATTATTGATGTATGTATTAATTAATAACAATGCTGCTCATGCTCTCTAGTCTGAATTAATTCATAAAGTTGAGGACATAAAACATCCAGGCCAAGGCATTGTTAATGCTGAGTTTACAAATCATAATGATTCCTCCATACAAACATTATAAGGCCTGACGAGTATGTTTTTATTTCCTCAAGATTTAATAGTGGGCTGTGGTCATTTTAGTAAAAAGGCCTAAAATAAAATGTTATAATTGGTTGCTCCATACTGTATGTTATTAAAAGTTTCTAATTTAAATAAAAAAGGGTATTATTTTAAAAGGAGAAATTCAAGTTGTCCATTTTTTGCTTTTCATTTTATAAGTGCCTACCTGTGACTATATTTATCAATACCTATTATTATATTTCAAGTTGCATACTATAATCCAAAGTTTTGTAAATAGTGTATTATTTTGAACATTTAACAAAATTATTAGAAACACTTAGAAACAAAAAGCAGTTAATATGAATGTTGATATACATGTCTATTACTTTTTCATTTTCTAAACTACTATTTTATACTTTATTTAATTAGAAATATTTAGATTAGTTTTTTTAATAAATGAATTATAGAAATTTTGGTGATTTTTCAAGTAAATTGGAGACAAAAACTACACTTTGAAGAACATTGCATGAGCTCAATAATTTTACAGCTAACTAAACCAAGATGAACTATGGAGGCTGAGGTAATCTCATCTAAAATTCTCTTGGAACAGGAATTAAAGGATGTTATTTATATGAGCATAAAATAACCAAACAAAAGTATTCATCTTTACATACATTTTCGACTTTATTACTTATTTTAATTTTTCCCCCCTGAAAACAGAGAGCAAAAAACTGTTAACAATAATTCTCAAGGGTCTCATCTGGTCCCTGTACAAAGCCAGGAGACCATTCAAATGCTAAATGTTTAAACTACACAACTTTATTTAACAGATATATAGTGGTAAATAAAAATGCAAACAATTATAATAAAATAAATACAATATAAATGCAACTGATCTAATGCACCAGGAGGAAAAGCAGTAGGGGAGGACACACAGTGTATGAATTTTTCAACTAAATGGAAAAAATGTGTTATATCTTTTAATTATTTTGAAAGGGCAATTAAGCACTATTTATTAAGTTTAAGAGTTGTTATTCGAATGAAGTAAATATTATGCCAGTGCCAGCCTAGACATTGGGTGCCTTCCAGCAATGATGTTATCTCCCCCTCCTAAAAAATTTAATTTATTTCTTAAACTGTTTTATATTGTGCTATATTTGAATTTTATTTCATTCAACATTTCTCTAATACAGTTGCTTTATTGATAGACTAAAATTAATTATTTTGATATATTTTTATATATTTTTTTTTAATTTTGAAATGTGGCCAGCATTCCTCCAGGTCAGCGCCTTTGGGCAATAGTCCCGGTTGTTCCACCCTAAGGCCAGCACTGATTATTAACAAAAATATATAAATTTGTCATTTTCGCTATCAATGTATCAAATACCAAATTTGATATTTGCTATCTGCTTATTTTTGCAATAAGGTAATCTGTACTCATTCCGGGCAGGGATTAAGTTATAAAGTTTTATGGCTACCGCCTTAAAAGTCGTCAGGGTGGGATGTAGAGTTCGTGGTAGAATTGAATGTTTAAGCTAGTGGTGTCATGTTGTAAGTTAGTCTCTGGTGAAAATTTTTATGGCATTGTGTTACAGTATCTGAAACCATTTGGATGCCCGAATCCTTATGTAACAAGTCATTTGTCACATAGAATGGTGCGTCTGCAATTTTTTACAAAACTTTTTATGGAAAATTTTGAATTTTTTGGATATTACACTATTTTGCACAGCCCCATAGCTCTATTACGTAAGTCCATCCAAGTTTTATAAGTAATTTGTAGATGATAAATTTGTTAGTTGAGAATAATTTGAAGGTAAGTAATACGGATAATAGTCACAAATTTGTTATGTTCTTTGCTGTTCTCGGCGTCAATCTCTTGTCCTGGTGAAGTCCCAAATAACGCATATCTCAAGTGGGAATAGGTACATAATTGAATAAAACTTGGCACCTTGGTTTAGTGTAAGACAATGAATACACTTTTAGTTGTATTCATTTTTACTTTCCAGCAAGTATTCCAATTAAAAATATCATTAAGATGATCCTATATGAAAAGAAATCCAATAATTGATTTTTTGTAGGTTCAAAATAGTGCATTATCGTATGTTGCCAGTAATGCAACTAACTTTCGGCTAATCGGTCTAGGCAAGTTCTGGTAAGTCTTCTGTGAAAACTTGGAAAAGTAGACTATCCTAGAGATCTCATGTCCTAACACGTTTTATACTGAATAATTGGTTACCTACTTTTACTGTAAAGTGTCTGTCTACCGAGTAACTAGAATGATATTGCAGGGCTACTCAACTGCATTGAGTTGCTAAATCACACAGCACACTCAATCAATCAACAGATAATATTTTAAAAAACAACAAGAGAGAGTTAGGTGGGACCATTGCAACAGCTAATATGTCAAGAACAATATACAGGATCGAATAAGCGAAAGCCAAGATAAATCAATATATATGTGGTGATGTAGGATTCCCAAAGCGTCTAAAATAATAGTTTCCACCATAGTCTGCCTCTGCTCCCTTCCAACACCGAGCTTCTGCAAGAAATTACTTGTAGTAAGAGGGATGGTTCTCCTGTTTCCGAACCATAGCCCTTTAACTTAGAATTCTCTTTCGCCAAATTAATCTTTATACTTCTCCTTTAAGTAAGGTATGCATTTTTTACAGATGTTCTTCTTCTCTGCATGCACTCTGAACTCAGGATCCTGATCGTTCGTTTCAAATCTAATCGCGGGATTCGCTATAAGTGTATCCTTGTCCGCCACATTAAACGCTAAAATGTCGACGAATCTCGTTGAGCCTTCCGTATCCAGTCAATAAACCTCGAGGAAACATCTATATTTCTTCATTTCAAGAAATTGGTTATTTGATGTTTTATAGTACTGTGCTGGCTGGTGACAAGGAGAAAGTTATTAGGACAAGTACCCAACACTTGAGCAGGGTTTTCTGACTCGGCTATTTATAGCAAAGGGATCCAATATCTCCGTTAGTCTTGCTTTCGGTCCCCGGCGGAGAGGAGCGTAATTAACTTTAAATTTCATGGCGTTCGTCCATTCTGAACCGGTGAGCACCTTTCTCTCGTAAATAAATTTATTGGCCAATGGATTTGCTTTAAAATGGGGCACACCAATTCTCTGCCACTTGCACTTGCTCCAGTCTTCAAATGACTTTTCTCTCTGGGATTGCTTTACTTTTCTAGCTGTTGGCTATGTTTCCATATTACTCAGTTCAATCCCTAATACATCCGCACACTTGGAAAATTTCCTGAAACTGAGGATATACCACATTTTCCAATTTTTGGGAAATGGACCAGTGCTGAAGAGGAGCCTCCTATTGACACCGCAAAAGACCTAAGACCCTGTATCGCCGTGGTGCATATATCATCGCCGAGCAAGTGCTGACCGGTAAGCCTACCATCGCCTTAACACTTCTCTGTAATATGATGTCTATAGATTCCAATAGCCATGGGAACAATTTCGGCAATGGCGCTGTCTGTAGTGGGTATATTAATGATGGGAAAACATATCTGTTTATAAAGGAAGGAGAGTACCGTGGTGGCGGTCATAAATAGGCTAAATAGTGGTAAAATTATTTTATTAAAAGCCGACGTAATCTTCTGTTCTGGCTTAAGGAGATTTGAACTAACCAATTTTTCCATATATCTGGCAACAGAAGCATCATCAAACTCTACTTTCTCAGCGAACCGACACTCAAGGTATTTGATAGCGTCACACCCCTTCAATGGAGATGATTACCTCTCCGGTATCTGATCGAAACCTTCATTTTACTAAGTTTTCCTTCTCTAAGATGATTCCAGAACTTGTTGGGGGGTTAATGGAAAATCCCAACTCACAAACATCTTTCGTATGATATTTATTGTCCTCTCCCCAGTATCATCACTTTTTTTTTGTATTGAATAACCTTCTACCCAACACTTTTGGCATATAGAGGGGCGGGGAGGAGGTTGTTCTAGAGGTACAAACAAATCTATTCTAACCAGAGTGGGATATTACCTATCGAGGTTTAGTTCACAGAGGATAAATACAGTTACCAGAAGGTCTCGACAGGGCGTGTTCATGAAAGAGGGTTAAGATGACTTAGTGAATAAAGGAAGATGTGTAGAAGGATGACCTCAAGTGACGGGCGGATCAGCACCCAATCACTCTCGGTCTGCGGTGTAAGGGATCAACCTTGACACTCCGCAAGGAAGGTAACCAAGGGATCAATATATAGACTTGTGGGAAGATAATATACTAACGAAGGGATCAATCTCCTGACTTAGTATATAGGAATACAAGCGGACGGATTAGCGTCCAAACTTGCATGGAGTATGAGCAGAGGGTAAAAGGTTAAACGATAGTGTTTAAAATAAGAAGAGTAGATTGATGAGAATAAAAAGCATGTTTGAGGCATATAAAAATCATCTGCGTGGTGGTCTACATCCTAAAGTTGTGGAGATACTAATACCTGACAACATTGAGACAAGACTGCGCTATTCAATCCATCAAGACTAAGTCGGGTATGAAGAGCCATTACAATAACAGTTGTTTTTAAGCTTTGATCAGTATATGTTATCGCCATTAAACTTTATTAATAAAAATACATTTTAAAGGTACATTGCACGGGCGAGCTATTTTTTTTTTTTTTTTTTTTTTTTTTTGGTCCTTCCCTTCCTCGCCGTTAAGGCTATACGGGATTTTCCCGGGCCAGGGAGTGTGGGCGGGGATTTAAAAGACTCCCCCGGCACCGGGACGCGAACTCGTGACTATTTTTATATCTTTAATTCATATGTCAGGTTGCCAAGCAACGGCGGTGCAGTGCACACGCTTTAGCCCAATCGGCTACCCCGCCCACACACGGGCGAGCGTGTATGGCGCTACCAGGTAGTGGGTAGGTGAACTAGTTGTCCCGTGTAGCAAGTGGCGGGAATCTTCTGCCGCCACAGGACTCCCCTCCGAGATGACCGAGTCATTGGTGAAGTCCAGTTCAATTGTTCAAATGTGATTGTCCGCCACCTTAAGGTCTAATATTGATTCCAATATCATTTAGGTGTTTGTTTGGGGTAATGTTATAATTGAACAGATGTGGGCGTTAAGCTGTTCCACTAATTGTTGATTTGCGGTGTCTAGAATATCTGTCCCAGAAAAGTGTTGAGAGAACATCATCATGCAGATCGGTGTTTTGAGGATGATGTGGCGGATGCCTTCAGTGAGTCGAGGTCTAGTCTACGCCGTGTTTCCCCAATAGAGAGCATGTCGGCCGAA